TGTTATGGGCTGTTAAGATAAAAAGTTAAGAGCTTATTAGATGTTATTCACTCTAAGCGAGGAAATATGAACAAGGCTGAGGATATGCTTTTGTGAGAAATACAATTCAGAAGCAATATTTCAAGGTTATCTATACCATGAAAATCCTTCAAGTCAATCTTCAATTGTATTATTTTAGTCCCTATCCCTTAGCCCCCACTACTCCATCTTGCCTATTCAACATTTTGCAGAATTCCAACTTCATTTGATAGAAAAGCAGGAAGAAAGTTATAAAAAAACACACACACACACAAAAAAAAAAAAAAAAAAAAAAAAAAAACAGGCATTTGTTTACATACATGAATGAGCAAGCAAGTAATTGAATAACAATGGGAAATATTTCTATGTAACACATTTTGTTCTTCAAAAAGAACTTCAGACTAAAATAACATTCTTATTGATGGAATTTTATGTAGGGGGAAGGTAGAAATATAAACAAAAGCACTGGTTGTAATTATACATCCAAAAGAATACTGAAGACGCAGTGAGACAAAACAAAGTTTCTGATGTCAATACATCTCGATGTGCAGCTCAGCTGACTTCATTTACATTCCCAATGTCTTTTGTTTAATCACTAGTGTTTTAAAATATTTCACAATGTGACAGCAGTAAATTTGTCATGAAAGATGAAATGTGGTATGAGAACTTGGAAGCAAATCTACTGTGGAAGACTTACAAATTAGTATACATTTATATATTTTCACTTTAGTAAATTAATTTCTCTTAATTGTTACTAGATTGACAGTTTAGTCTCATCATTTTACAGTTGAAATGGTTAGATGTAATCAAATTCTATGCTAACGGTTTCTTCACCTGTACTTCTTGCTTCTGGAACTCTCTTCTGGCTTCTTGCTTTCCAGGAAACTTTGATATTCAAAAATTTAAATGCATTCTCATCTTCTGTTATTTTAAATCCTGTTCTTTTATTGTTCTCTTTCTTTAATGTCTTCTTTTTGTCTTATTCTTTTATACTCAGTAACTTGTTGCATCTTAGTGGCTTTATTGCCTTGTATGAGGTGAAATGATAAAAGAATTAATAAATTAAACTGCATTCTTTGAGTCAAGGTTATGTCAGATTCATTACAATGAATGACTAATGCGTTGAGTTGTTTTTTTCAAAAACAAAAATCCCCTTTTGTGTTCAAAATTATTTCCTTGCCTGGAAAAATTGTTACAACCTAAAAATATTTTGGGGCTTTAAATAACCTGTAAAAGGTTGATAAACCTTAAAAAACAAATCAATTGATCTTGATCTTATCAGTGTGTGGTACCATTGAAAAATGCATATTATGGGTCAACTCAAGCTTTGTGAGTGAATGTCGGTAGATGGATTCGTAAGTCACAAGTCATTGTGACTGAGGGTTTGATTATACTGGTTTTATTTAAACTGCTGATCACTCCAGATGATGTGCGCTCTCTCTCTCTCTCTCCCAGAAACTGTAACTAAAGTTCACTCAGCATAGTTAAAGTATAAACTACAGGTGGGCTCTATATGGGCATTGAGCAGACACAAATGTGTCTGAGTGAGTATCTGCAACAGGGATTGGCTAGCTGCCTAGCAGACAGGCATACTTAGATATAAGCAGCAAGCTATTATTAAGAGAAATAATAATGGATGAATGGAAAGAGTTTTAAAAGACAAAAATATATTTCCATTCACAAATGTATTTTTTTGCAGATTGACAATGTAAAAAGCAAATCAATCAATCCAGCAGTTTCATATAATTTGACATCATTGCTCTTGTATATAAACACATGCAAGAAAATAAATAAATCCTTACATTTGCCTTGATAAAGTCCCTCAGAGGACGAAACATGTCGGCTAAGAATAATTTTTCCTATTGTCTTTTTATTCATTTTGTTTCTTCAGAGATACACTATCTGAAAATTACACACACACACATATATATATATATATATATATTTCACAGTTGTGCCATATTTACATAAATTAACAAAAGTATGAAAATATGAAGATGTCAATGACATAACCATATTTTCAAGAAATGATATCGGTAAGTAAGAACTAAGCGCAGATAACTCTGTAAAAGATCAACTTTACAATGTTACAATATTATGAACAGAATGTCACCTTATAAGTCGATAAAAAAAAAAAAAAAAAAAAAAATCAAAAAAAAATCAACATTACATGACATGAGGAAGGTCTAAAAAATACTAATGTACATTTTTTTTATACGCTAATTCCCTTCAGAACATAAGAAATCATTGTTTTCCACATTCATTTTCTTTTACTATCTGGGAACTGCTATGCTTTTTGAGGAAGGGTAGTGGAGTTGATTCCCATTGCTTCCTCCTCAGTTTAGAATTCAGTTTTCCTTTTCTTAGGCTGATTGCCACCCAAGGCTGGATAAAGCCCCAGCTATTCAATGCTAATGGGAGAAGAAAAGGCAAATTATCTTGGGAAAGATGGTGGCTTTTCATTGTCATCCACAGTTTTGAATTTAAAGTTGTTTTCCTAAACTGGCTGCCACCCAATGCTAGAGATTCTAGTTTACCCTTCTATTTAATTTATCCATAGCTGAGGAGGAGAACAGATTGATTCATGCTTTTCCAAAGCACATTATTAACAGATTAAACTGGATATTGAACTTGGCTGGCCAGCTCCACTTTCTGATAACCATTTTATCTCAAGACAATATACAAATAAAAAAATATGCAAAGATTTGGTCAAAAAGTGTTTGTAGTTCTAAGTTTACTATTTAAATTCATTGTAAACACCCTTATGGAAAAATAAAAATACTAAAGAAAAAAAAAATTTTTTCTTCCGGTCGATTCACACTCCTTCTCTGCCTTTTGAACAGGAGTAAAACTAAAAAGGTTTATCATCCCTTGTTTAGGATCGGGTTCTTTCTTCTAAACTAAAAAGTTTTAATCCCCAACTCCTCACATTATTTTAGTCACTAAACCTTTTTTTAGTTGCATTATCGGCTTATCGATAAGGTTATCGGGAGATGATTAAAAAAAAAAAAAAAATTATGTGATTTCTTAAAATAAAAAACGTGTTTTAAATTCGTAATCTGGCATGCTTAATAATCGTTAGTAATAGTAATTAGATAATAATAATAAAAAAAGAATATTTTATTTTGGCTTCCATAGGAGAATTTTTTTTTTTCTTAGGCTGATTGCCACCCACGGCTGGAGAAAGCCCCAGTCTACCCTGCTACTCAATCCTGGTTGATGGTGGGATAAGAAAAGGCAAATTCATACATTTTTCAAGGCTACAAATCAAAGTATACCCTGCTATTTAGCGCATAGATGGATAGAAAAGATGTGTTAATGTCTTTCATAAGGTTATTTGTGCTAGAATAAATGCAACAGACTAGCCAGAAAAGATTAACACCACACAAAAATAAGCCATTATTAAGAGAAATAATAATAATGACTGAATGGAAGAGGTTTTAAAATACAAAAGTATATTTACATTCACATATAAATATATTTTTTTGTAGGTTGACAGGACATAAAAAGCAAATCAATCCATCAGTTTCACATAATTTGACAGTAGACTTCAAAGTAGTAAGGAATCATTACGCTTTTATTATTATAACCAATTGACCTCTTATTTGACAGAGTTGGGTAATTCTATCAGTTGTTAATAATTGACAATGCTTCATCAAAGGCATTCACACATATTTCATATTACTAGTGTATGACATGAAAAAAAAAAAAGTGCAAAAAAAAACAAAAAAAAAAAACAAACAAACCAAAAAACTAATTGCTACTCACCAACTGTTCTTGTAACTCTTCTGCATATTTTTTCAGTGCATTTATACAAGTTGTTTGACTCTGGTAATCTAATTCTCCATTTGTGCAAAGGTTTTTGCCACGGTCCACATGTGCTGCTAATTTCCGGAAATGTTTGAAAAACGACAATTTCTTCCCATCCATATCAAAGCTACGACAATGAATTCAAATCAGCTGAAAAACAAATATAGCTTTATTATTTTTAATAATTACTCAATCTAAGATCAAGGATAAATCTGAAATTTATGTAAAAAAAATAAAAAATCCGTTTATGAGGACTAGTTTGAATAGATTTTGTTTTTATTATTAAATGCCATGTTTCTTTAGAATATAAGTATTTACCTCCAAAGACTTGCTAAAAAATGAGAATACATGATGAAAAAAATGCTACAAACTTAAAAAAAAAAGTTTTATCATTAAAATCTTTGTTATTAAAAGGAAAGAGCAAAAGAATTTTTGATTGTTAAATTATATTTTTCAATCCGTTTTAGCACCAACAGGTGACCATAAATTAGTATGGTAATTTATAGTCTTTTTGTGGTGAAAAACATATTGATTTGGAAATACTTGCAAAAATCAGATAATTATTAGATTTTAATGAAACTTTTAGAATTCTTTTAACTACCTTCATTCCTCTACAATGTTTAAAGTTTTAAAAAGCAATGATTAAAATTGTAATACAATCTAAACAGATGAAAGTGAATTTTTCTTTGTTCTTGAGAATTGACAACAAAAATAATAAACACTATTTATTATATTTTTTATTGAAATGGTTGGCAAAACTTTGGCTAATTGCCAATCAATTCAAACTTTATGAGATGGTAAATAATAAGGATTTCCTAAAAGGTGGTGCTCATATTTTAATAACTTAGTAAATGTTTATAAATTTATGAATAAAAAAATTGTTTTAATATTTATTTCTTTATAATATTCCAATCAATTTAAATTCAATTTGAAATACAACAAACTATTTTGTTTATTGGAAATATTAAATTTAATCTATTAGATTGAAATTAAAATTAAAAAGCTTCAGGAAAGATTATTCATTTTAAACCACATATATCACTTGCTTTTGGCAATATAAGTGGCTTATGGCCATATCATTAAAAAACACTAGTTTCCGTACGATCACCAAAGTTAAGCAATGTCAAGCCTGGTCAGTATCTAGATGATTGACCGCTTGGGAATAACATGTGGTAAGCTTGAATGTGCCGGTGATGTAACAGAAAACTACTTGGAATTGTTAATTGGAGAGTCCATTTCCAATCAGGTTGGGTATATTTAATTACATATATAATAAATATTTTATATATATATATATATATATATAAATACCCTTGGGAAAGGTATGAATCCACATCTTCACCTACCAGCTATTGGTTAATTAGTAAGACTTGTATCACTAAAATCATTATTATCTCCAAAAAAAAAAAAAAAAATTTATGACTTTAAATAATCTGTTGATAAGCTATTGAAAATATAACAAAAAAACAAAAAAAACACTATACGTGGCCATGACTGCCAAGATACTGTTCCTTATTATCTTGGGAAAGATGGTGAGTCTTCCACAGTTTTGAATTTAAAGTTGTTTTCCTAAACTGGCTGCCACCCAATGCTAGTTTACCCTTCTATTTAATTTATAATCCATAGCTGAGGAGGAGAACAGATAGATTCATGCTTTTCCAAAGCACATTAATAACAGATTAAACTGGAATTTGAACTCGGCTGTCCAGCTCCACTTTCTGATAACCAATTTATCTCAAGACAATGACCCCCCCACCCCCAAAAAAACATGATTTCTAGTCGGTGCTTGTGTGTGTTTTTTGAATGAATAGGAGAAATCGATTTTGGAAATTATTTTTTTAAAATGCATTTTTGTTGATGAAAGTTCGATTTGCAATGCAAGTTCAATACTAAGGTGGACTCCTACTTGGTGTATTTTTAATGAAATAAACGAGGCTTTTTTTTTTTTCGTTAGTCCGTCATTTTAAAGTACGGAAGCCGAAAAAGTTGCATTATTTCTTCTCCGCCACTAAGATTCGTGATGTTAAAAAACATTCTGCTTTTTTATGAGTTTTTGGCTAAAAATATCTTTCCATCTAAATTAAAAAAAAAAATATATCCGGAAATTTTTCTTCACAGAAATGCGATTAAATTTCAGTTTTTCTGATGAATGATTTCAAATCCAAAGGAGAGCTCAGAATATGAGACTGATTAAAAATAAATTGAGGGAGGTAATTTAGTTTCTGTTTATTATACGAAAACTGTTTAGACCCGTGAACCCTAATATTATCTTTTTAACTTTTTAATCAAATCTTTGTCTTTATTAGTTCAAACTAAACAATTTGTAAAAGATAGTGCATGCTAATATACGAGATGAATTTCACTTCAGTTTTTTAACACAGGGGTTGCACTCACAACTTGGTGGATCGAAGCAAAGAAATTTTTTCGCCCCCCCCCCAAAAAACAGCATAATGAAAAAAATGTCCTAAACTTCATAAAAATAAAGTTTTATCGTGAAAAAGTAGTCATATACTCTTCTTTTGGTTTCGTGAAAAAGTTGCATAAAGATAAATTACATAAATAATTAACTGAGACGAAACATTTCTTGTTCAATATCCATGGACAACACCAGTACGAGTTGTAGATTACACTCCTCGATTCGAAATTTTTAAAACGTTACGGAATACGAGGGAGAGAAGAGAGTGTAACGTTGTGATTTAATAAAATATAATAATATTACGTTTTAAATTTATTTACTCTAAAAGTTTCATCTTCTTTAGGAAAATAAAATCTTAAGCCAGTGTATGACAAACAATTTGACAAAAAGTTAGTTCAAAACAATTTACCAAACCGTCATAAAAATTACAAAATACAAACACATCTCTTTCTTTTTTTTTTTTAAATATTTTATCTGATCACTCTTTTAAAACATTTAAATGTCTATTTTTGCCATTTGAATAAATTATCAATAATATAAATAAGATTTCAATTTAAAATGTTTTTAAATTACACGATGATGAACTCACCAGGTTGTTTTTATTTTCAACTGTTCGTTATTAAATAATAGGAATCGCACAAATGCCGATCGGGAAGGAGATTAAAAGCTTACAGAATAAAGAATAGGCAGATGAAAACACATTCAGCCAAAGATGTGTTGGAAAAACACAAACTTAAGTAATAATTTACAAACTGCTTAGAAGAGACGAACGGAAAAATTCAAACCGGCCGCCATGTCAGTGACGTCATTAAAAAACGTCCGACAGGTGGCGCTACTTTATTATTACACGTGACTATGAAAGGCCAATGTCGTAGTAATCTCACAATTTGGTTTATCAATGATTAATCATGTATCTTCTTTTAGCTGTTTATTTATTAAAATAGTAGGTGTGTCACTCCTGTGGCTATCTTGTAAAGACACTTTATATTATTTAACACTGACACTTTTCTTGTAACTGAGTGCATTTATTATTTTTAGAATAAAAACATGTATGCATGCAGTGAGTACAGTATACTCACTCTGTATCTGGCACAAGGCCAGTTTTTAACGTGGGGCGTTCCGAGCATGTACGTTTTGTTATTTCTTCCAGACCCTGTTCTGCTATCCGCTTGTAAGCCCGTTATGTCACCGGTTGCTTATCCTCCCTCTATCCGCCCTGTGAGTATCAGATTTTCCAAGCCTTTCTTTCTCGTAACGTGTCCCAGAAATTTCAGCTGCTTCTTCCTGATTAAATTAACTATAAGTTTCCTCTTTGTTTGCATCGTATCCAAAACCTCATAGTTGCTCATATGTTCAGTCCATGGTATACTTAGCATCAGTCCACTAACTCACTACTGACTACAAAACAAAGTGGTAAATTTAAATTATATACACTAGTACACTTCTTTTTCTCTCTTTTTTTTTTTTTTTTTTTACTTTTATGTGTGTGCATGCTTGCGCGCATGCATGCACAGATTTTTTCACTGTAATCACGCAATTTGACATAAAATAGGTTATTAAAAATGGCTTCTTTTTTCTTTTCTTTTTTAATTTTCTTGGGAGCTTGCAGTGCCCGAATTCCCAACTGCATGGGATCATTGAACTTGCCAGAATCAATTCATAACTTCATACCGGTCTGCATTTTGGCAGTTGTGCCCTCAAGTCCCCGCCTACATTACTTTGTGAAAAAAAAAAAAAAGACTTTATTTAATAAACTTATTTTATAAACTTTATTTTTTTCTCTTAAAGTTTCGTAATTTTGGGTGTAATAAACATTCGGGGATGAGGGACAACCTTAAGAAACAACCACACACATAGCATGAAAAGGTGTTAAAACAACTTAAATTTACGGGACTACATTATGGGGTAAAAGGAGGCTTACATAAAAACGTACAGTGGAACCTCAGTTCACGAATTTAAATCGTTCCCGAAGGTCGTTTCTTACCCCGAAATGTTCGTAAACCGAAACTATTTTTCCAATAGGAATCAATGTAGAGAATAAGTCACAGTACATTAAAATTGGAAAAGAAAGGCACAACACAACACACGAAAGTATACAACTAAGAAATTATTCCGTTCGGGATAACAGAACTCAGTTCGGATATGTTGTTCGAGAACCGAAATTTTGTTCGATAACCGAGGCATTTTCATCTCGAATTTCTGTTCGAAAACCGATTTGTTCGACATGTGAGACGTTCGACAACCGAGGTTTCTCTGTAGATTTATTTTATATCTGATTAATTTATTTTATTATATTTTACTTTTTATTATATTTTTATTTATTTTGTCTATATTATTTATTTATTGGAAAACTCATATGTTTATTTATTTCTTATTACATTTTATTTATTTTCTCATATTTATGTATTACAATATTCATTTTTTTGTTAACCTATTTTTTACAATATTTTACAATATTTTATTTATTTATTATAAAATTCAATTGCTTATTTATTTTTATTATATTTTATTATATTTTTTTTTATTTATTATAAAATTCATTTGTTTATTTTTATTTTATTATATTTATTTATTATAATTAATTTGTTTATTTTATTATATTTATTATATATTCTATTTACTATTTATTTAATTTTTTCTTTCGTTTTTATTTGCAGAGAATTTAGTTCTCACAAGTGGATTCATTCTTGCACATGACTAAACTCATGAGTATATATATATATATATATAAACTGAAACATTTTCATGCAAGTCAGGCTGTGACCACGATTCGTGTCCGAAAGGTTCATATTTCTCACTGGCAATCGTTATTCAAGTCCCCAGGGAACCATGATTTTAAATGCTGGAAATGTAGCTTGTGCTGCCGGTATTCATTAAGGAAAACAGCCAACACAAACAACATTTTTCACCCCATTTGTCTTTATATCCTACCAGCACGCTAAGAATCTATGTAACAAATACAAATGTCAGTGTGTAACTGTGTCACACTTTTACAATTAAAGGGACACAACTCTCTAATTTTCAATACGATTGTTTTCGACAATTTTTACGTGATTTTTTGGGACGCTTTTTTTGTACAATAACAACTTTTATAACTTGGAAATAATTTTAGAATCATCGAAATTAATTGCGAAATCCAGCGGAAGCCACCCATGAAATAAAAATAATTGTTTGTACGGAAAGTAAGGACGTACGCACATCAAATTGGTTTTAAAAAAACAATTTGATGTGCGTACGTCCTTACTTAATTTTAAAACTTTTAAATTAAGTAGCACCAGAAGAATTATCGTTGAACTTTTAAAAGATAAGCTTAAATATTAATTCAATACTTAAATGCATCGATCAATTTTGAGATTTTCTGTAGTTTACTGTTGCCTAGCGCATACAGCAGCAGTATGCCTTGCAAAAAGAAACCTTCGCCAACAGAGGACCAGATTGCAATCAAAAGAGCCAAGGCTGCAGGGAAGAAAAGAAAGTCCCGTGCAAATGAAAATCCAGATCAAATGGCAGCCATGGCCGCTTTTAAGGTAGTAAATAAATTAATAAAAATAAATTTAAGATAGTAAATAAATAAATAAAGTCAATAGTGCACACGTTTTTAATTTCTTGAAATTACATTTTCAAAACTGTATTTTTACTTTTTGAATATTTGTGAAAATACGGATATTTGAACACATACCAAAACACGTTGGAATAGCGAAATCTGCCTTCCAAAAGCTAATCAAAGTATCAAGAAACAGAAATATTTCGTTAGAA